TTTAAATAACTTTTAAAAATAAACCCCTTTGTATTGCATTGCATATTGTATGTTCAGGGATGACAGATTGAGAAGCAGACATGCTATTTATGACTGGATGTAACTTTTCATACTTTGCAGTAAAAGTGGCTCTCCTATTAACTTTGTCCTATAAGTGCGGCTCTCGTGAAAAAAATAGTGAAGATCACTGGTTTAGAGGGTTAGTTCATTCTGTCATTCATGGACTACTTTTATGATGCTGTTTGAACTGCAAGATATCTTATCGTGTTCCACAGAAGAAAGACTGCTATTCTGTCAGCTGTAAAAAAAAAAAAAAACTCCAGACACTGTTGGTGTGAAAGGATACAATCACTTCCCCTTCGAACCCGAACGCTTCAACCACAGCGTCCACAGCATCCTTTACAGTCAACTCATCCTCCTCCCCGACTAGACAAAAAGAAACGAAGAAAAAGAGAAACATGATCTTGATATTTGATGATCAACCAATGAGCTCTGATGAAACAGACCCAACACATGTGACGTCAAACACGTCTCGAGTACCTGACAGAATGATGGGCTCCACCTCGTCGTACTCCCTCAGAACCCACAGAAACAGACGAGCCAGATCCAGAGAATAGATGAACTGCCGCAGAGCGCGACCCGAACCCCAGACCTGCAGAGGTTTACCTTCCTCTACGAAACAAACACGCATACATTTACCCTGTGAACATGTGGGACGCTCTGAATGTGATTGTGAGTTAAATGTCTCTCACTCTTTGCCAGGTACGTCTTGTGGATCAACCCCGGCATCACATGACCGTCCTCAATGTTGTAATTGTCATGGGCTCCAAACATGTTGGTGGGGATGACGGCTGTGTATTTCCGACCGTACTGCTGAAATAACGCCCTAATGGACAAACACACAAGACAAAGTAAACAAATAAAATATTTATATTTTTAGCGTTCGAGAGTTAAAATTATTTGTATTTTAAATTTTTATGATTTAGTAATTCATTATTAGCTTTTTATCAACTCACAAACCCACTGCAGTTCTTACATTAAGCCCAGTTTGGGAAATCCTGGTCTAATAATGTTTAATGCATTGTATGATGTTGATATCAAAAAATGCAATATATTTTCTTTCTCTTTGCTTTTTTTTTTTTTATATATTTGTAATTTTAAACAAGTTTGATAAAAAAAAAAGTAATCTAAAAGTAGTCCGATTACATTACCTAAAACAAGTAACTTAGATTATGTTACTAACTAGTTTTCATCATGTGACCTGTAATCAGTAACGGACTACAATTTGTAAGTAATCTACCCACAAAGCACAAAGCTTATTGCGAATGTTTAATGAAGTTTTATTCACGCATCAACTGAAAAAAGCACAGAGTAGATATTTAGGCGCCCGGGGAAGACAAAATAAAAATTATAAGTAATTTAATACACTTTAAATGATTAAAAACCAATAAATAATAATAATCCCCCAAATCCTATTTGCATGTTCAATCTGCTTTGGTGGTATTTACTCATTTAAATATTTCAGCAGGTGGTGTACAGTATATGAATCGCAAGTGACCGAAACTTTGTTCACATATCTTTGTTTTTCTTCTTGTTAGAGATGATCTAAATATTCGCAGCTTAAAAAAAAGATAGAAAATGATAGGCTTGTGCTACAGTTCTATGGATGTTTTGCCCTCCAGGGATGTTACTATGAATGTAAAACTATGAATTGTTTAACAACAAATAAACAATAATTAACTTAATGCTGCTTGCCTCATTAAATATGAACATGCTTTGTACAGTCACAGAAACTGTATGTGCTGTATTCAGTTTGTACAGGTGCATCTCAATAAATTTGAATGTCGTGGAAAAGTTCATTTATTTCAGTAATTCAACTCAAATTGTGAAACTCGTGTATTAAATAAATTCAATGCACACAGACTGAAGTAGTTTAAGTCTTTGGTTCTTTTAATTGTGATTATTTTGGCTCACATTTAACATTTAACATTTAACAAAAACCCACCAATTCACCATCTCAATTGATTTTTTTGCACCCTCAGATTCCAGATTTTCAAATAGTTGTATCTCAGCCAAATATTGTCCAATCCTAACAAATATTTATTCAGCTTTCAGATGATGTATAAATCTCAATTTCGAAAAATGGACCCTTATGACTAGTTTTGTGCTCCAGGGTCACATTTTACTTGAAAATGTGATCTTTTAAGCATCATACATAACAGATACCCTTGTGTCATATATCACTGAAAATGTCTCAACTAGCAGAATACAAGAAGAAGAATTGTTTCAGGAGACCAAACAATACCAAGTACATGTAAGCCGCGTTTTAGTTTGTAGCTTCACCAAACGTTAGTAAACCATAGCAGATCACATATATTGATTTAGAGCAGGTGTTCTCAAATCAAACAAGCCCAAACACAACATAACACGACGCACAGATCTAGAGATGATCCTCTTAGAGTTTTTTTGCTAAAGCTGAATAGGACATCCAGGATCTGATCACGTTGCGATGATGATGCAATGCAATTTGAAAATGCTGGGAAATTCAACCAATAGAAACTGGATTCCAGGTATGGTGGGCGGCTTTAGTTGCTAGGCCGATGAGTAAAGACCAATTGGGGACAGTTCTCATCCACCAGGATCTCATTATTTATTCTTTCATAAATTCGTTGGGTGTTAAATAGATCTACAAAAAGATGTTAAATACATCTATACCAGCCAGGACTTCTTCTAGACACGTACTGGATAACATCCTGATTAAACCTGGCAAATCCAACCAAAAAAAAAGAAAAAATATACAAGATCCACTGAATCCGGAAAAATGCATTTAATGTTTACATAGTCTAATAATGGAAAAAAAACTTGCTACTTAGTATAAATTGTGATTTTTACTTACAAGCACATTATTTGGTTCATTATATTTAGTAGACTGAATCGGTCCTGTAGAGTTAATGGCATTGCATCAAATTGAGTGTCAGTCGCAGAGTCGGTAACCATGACCAAAGCTTATTGACCATTTAAAACGTTATCAACCAACATAATGGCAATCAGGCATTCCAAGTAGTGTAAACCAATATTTGCATTGTATAATGGTAGTAAGCATATCACTCTCACACTTGTTACGCAAATCTATCACACTTACTGTCCTGCAGCAAAGCAGTTATCAGATGGTCACCCGAGTAATTGATGTGCAAGAGCGAGACAAGACTATTTGAACAGGTTGCATGCATGAATGTATAATGTGAAACCTAGAAACCTGAATAACCAGCATCACAGTCTGGCACCAACAGCCCAGATGTCAAAACTACACCCATGCAGACAAAACCATGATGGTTCTGAAATTAGGCTTATTTTCCCTTAATGAAAATATAATTTTGTAACAGTACTTTCTTTTGAAATGCAATCAATCCAGACATGTTTTCATGAGATACACCCAAGAACAGCTCATGATCAGTAAATTTTGACACTAAGAGAGCAGAACCGACCTGTTGTGGACGTCAATCATGCGTTTGGCGTAGGCATAACCGTAATTAGAGTCATGGGGGGCACCGTTGTGCATCTAACACACAGAAAGAGAGAGAAACACGTCACCACCAAGTTAGAAAAACACAGGTATTTTACACAATTCATGCAAACAGGCTCATGAAACCAATCAGACATCCACTACATTACATCTCTCATAATAACATGTTTTTTAAATCACTATTAGGTCCAATTTTTTAACAACAATTCTTCATTCTCTCTGCTGTTTAGGGATGACTGTATCCTACTTCCTCATAACCTCACCCTGACGGGACGGGACAAGTTTCTGGATGGCAACCAGGCATTTTTGACAAGTTAATATAGGCTGTCATGTATTCTAATGTTCTTAAACATATCTCAAAGTTTTTGGCATCTGCATGCATTGAAACTAAACTGCCATTTTAACAGAATTCTCTTTATTCACCGTGGAGGAAATTTGATATGAATGAATTTCAAAAGATCAAGGATCATGTGTCATGTGAGCTTTTTAAGGGAACAGTAAACACATACTGTATCCAACATCTGCCATTTAAAGTATATGTGTGTGTGTGCTTGCTTTACCATGGTCTCATCTATAGGGTAGGTGGTTTTATCTGGAAAAACACACGTAGACAGACAGGAAACGACCTTCACCACGCCGAACTCATGAGACATGTTCAGCACATTGTCATTGATGTGCACATTATTCCTCTGAAAACAAGAAGCAAATACAACTAAATAATTCAACCGTGATATTTCCAACCTTATGTGACTTAATATGAATAATTACCCAGAAATCCAGGTTCTGTCTCATGTTTCTATAGAGTCCGCCCACCATGGCGGCCAAATGAATGACGTGCGTCGGACGATGTTTCTCGAAGGCTGCTCTCGTCTCTTGAGCGCTCCTAAAGCAGCACGTGTAAATATATTTATCATGCATGGGACACAAATGAAAACCATTTATGTTGGAGCTTCTTCTTTGTCTAAATTCCAGCTCTGCCCCTTCTGGATATTCATTAACCAACATCATGAGGTGAAGTGTTTAAATACTAGTCAAGACTCAAGAAAGAACATTTATGATGAGTGACAGAACTACAATCTGCACAACACTACACTACAATGTGAAGCAATATAAAGCTACTGATATAAAGATGTTGTGTATACAGAAACAACATAATATTTTACATATTTACACAGATACTTAAATAGTTTGACAGCATATGTTGACTGACTCTATCATTCTCAGTGCTTCATGGGAGTGGGCGGAGCTGTTTTGGCATGGTTTGTTTTTTGCAATTCTCTGATTGGTGGAAAATTCTTATTGCATGCCGTTTTTTATAACATGCATTATATCTAAAGTACATGTTATACAATACATGTGATGACATATGGTGTTATGTTTGTGATGTCCGATGAGTGTTTCTTAGAGGAGCACTTACACAAGGTTGGCCTCTTTGGATGACAGGAATATCCATTTTTCTCCTTCTCTCCCTCCACCCTCTTTCACCACCCGCTCTATCGCTCGCCCCACCAGCCCACTGCCACCCGTCACCAACACTCGCATCGGCCCGACCGACCCGTCCATCTGACAGAGAGAGAGAGAGAGATGGGGTTTGATGAACACTTCAGGGGTTAAAATACATGTGAAAACAGGACTACTGCAATAATTAAGTATCGATCTAAACTTCAACAGGGCCTCCCTTCTGACACAACGTATATGATCGATGGTGCCAACCCCATCCAATTTCGATTCCATAGCAAAAACAGCTTAATATGTAAAAAGTTTACCAGCAATTATTTATGTGAACAACTAAAATCAATAGAATAAGAACAAAGAAGCAAATTACAAGAAATGGGGGCAAATAAATAAAAAAGAACAAATATACAAATGAAATAAACAGGGCATTACTTTTCAATTAGGTACATTAGTAAGCTAGTATTCAATACTATACAGAAATTGACACAGACAGCAGCAGGTGTATTTTAGGCTGCTGTCACTTTAAGACCCAATCACGGATCCAATATTCACATAGGATTAACTAAGGGTGCTTTCACACCTGTAGATCGATTGCTTTGTTCCGAAACAGGGATTAAAATTATTACAATGTTGCTTTTTATTCTTGGTGCGGTTCGCTTTCACACGGCAAAGTTTCTAAACGGACCAAATTTGTTAATACAAGTCACGCGTGAGTAAACTGTTCTCTCATTGGTCAAAGTTCCACGGTTTATTTTCCAGGATTCCACTTAGCTGTCACGGCTGTCATCCGTCAGGATGGGACGACAGCTTTTTTTTTTTTGTAGCTGTCCTTACATTAATTTATAATTTTGAGCAGGAGTCCAGGATTCATCGGGAAATTTTTTTTAAATGCACCTACTAGGAAGAAGAGCAATAAGACGGCATTATAAAATGAAAAAGTGCACCTTTTTATTTTGAATGGCAAAGACGTGCTCACCCACAGACATTCACAGGTTCATTTTGAGGTATTAGCAAAACAACAAAGCTAATGCTTTTCACGGAACTTACATAATTACCCATCATACATTGTGATCTAGCCTGGTTCGTTGGTCCGTTGGATCGGATTGCTTTCTCACTAAAACCGAACCGCTCCAGAGTTCGTTTTCAATCGAGCCGAGACCACCTCGTTCAGGCGATCTCGGACCGATTGTTTTGGCGCGGATCCGGGCGCGATTGCCATGTTCACATATGCCCAAACGAACCGAGCTAAGAGGGGAAACGAGCCAGGTTCTGAAACAACGAGCCAGGTGTGAAAGCACCCTAAATCAGTTGTTATAGGATTAACTAAATCAGTTGTTATAGGATTAACTAAGTCAGTTGTTGTAGGATTAACTAAGTCAGTCTTGAGCAGTTTATTAAAGACGTTGATAAAGGGAAAAAACATAGCTGTTCTAAAAATAACTGTTAACCTGGTTTCAAGAGGCTTATTGCTTTTCTAAAAGGGTTACTGCCTGGACAGGTAAAAAAAGAAAAGAAAAGAGAAACAAAGTTGTAAAATGTATTGATAACAAATAAATAAATCTTTTGCCAAGCAATGAAGTTGTGGTGCAATATTTTGGCGAAATTTCGCGAGGTCAATTGTCATGATGAACATGACTAAAAAAAAAAGCGCGGGAACTTTTTCACCCTCAAACTCCGAAGGAGCGGATTCCCATTGAAAATTTAGTCTTTTTGTTGTTGTTGTTTGTTTGTTTTTTAAGAAGTTTTTTTTTTTAAGAAAGTGCAATTTAATACATATTTTAAAAAATCAAGTTTTCATTTTCTTTTTTCTTGAGCATGTAATATTGTGCAGTTCTTTAGGAGTTTAGTCTTCAGACCAATGCTCAGGTGTCTTTACACACGACGTTTAAACCTTTTAAAAATGGCACAAAAACGAAATTGTCAAGACACCCATTTAGGGCATGTTCACATAGGCTACTGTTGAAAACATGAAAACAGCGCGAGCGGACACAAAAACACTTTCAGTGTGAATGGACTCATATTCACATGAATATAGCTGAATCTTCAGTTAACGTTACTTCTCAAAAAGTAGCCTTTAGTTTCAGTTGTTTATAAGTGAATATCCACTTCGTCCAGCGCTGTTTGTTCTCTGTGTTCAAGGGTATCTAGATAGCGTCTGTTTTACAGACCGAGAAACCTCAGGTGATTGAGCGAGAGAGCGGGAAAACAGACCGTTTTGCAAACCTGTCTGGCCGGTTCAGTGAAAAGAAAGGACTGACTCAGATGATTGATCATTAATGGCTGGTTCAGTCGAGAGAATATGGGACACGCATAACAGAGATGTCAAGGAAAATGTTTCTCAGGTCAGTCGTGCCGCTCGTGGTACGACTGAAAGTAGCCTACTGGATTTCAGGCGGGAAATTTCGGCGACCTCGCCTTTATTCAACATTGTTTAGAAGAATGGAGACGCAGCAAGCATCCCAGTCAGATAGCACACGCACGTCTGCAAGATGTCTGTTAAAGGTCCCTTCATCTGGAAAGAATCTGCTGTGTACAAACATCTGATAGACGCCTTAAAGATGTCAGTTTTACAACATTTTCTAAACGTCTATTTGACATCTGATAGGTAGCCTAACGTCCTATAGACGTATTGCAGATGAGCAAACACTCTAAAAAAAATACGTCTTGTAGACGTCTCCGTGATGTACGTGTGCTATCAATGCCCAGATAGCACATGCACATCTGCAAGATGTCTGTTAAAGATCTCTTCATCTGGAAAGCGTGTACAAACATCTGATAGACGTCTTTAAGATTTCAGTTTTACACGCATTCTAAATCATAAACATCTTAAAGACATCTTCTAAACGTTTATTTGACATCTGATAGGAAACGTGCTATAGACGTATTGCAGATGAGCAAACACTCTAAAAAATACGTCTCGTAGACGTCAAATAGACGTCTCCGTGATGTACGTGTGCTATCAATGCATACTTGGCACGGTATTACTGATTTAATGAGGTCACAGGTGTGTGTTTTCACACCGGCATTGAAAGCGTCTCAGTGACCGGCACGATCCGTTTTATTATGTGCTTTTCATGATCATCAAGTACCTCGTTCATCCATCATCGCTCTTACTTGTCCAATTCATAATTATTACCAAGAGACAAACCTACTAGGCACAACTCGCTCAGAACCCCACCCTGGTGAATTTCCGTTCAAAACAAAACCATGGAAATGGCGTATTTGTTTTGGAAACGTACCATGGTGATCACGGTGATCACGGTATCGACATAGATTATATTTTCATTAAGTACCATAGCAGCACTACGGTATTTTCGAAGTGTATACATGATCTTAGTTAAAGCAGATCCTCTTTCTCTTCCTCTCTCTACAGCTCACAATTAAAACCGACAGTTGAACTGGTAAAACAAGTTTAACCACTGACACACCCTGTAAGTCAACACGAGAACACATCACTGATGAGGTATCGACTTCTGCATATGACTAAAAAACACAAGAAATATACTAACAAAAACACACTCGTGCGGGATTTATGTGCATCACATGCCTCATAATTCTTTTCATCAATGCAAAAGGCGCACAGACTTTAAAGGGACAGTTCACCCAAAAATGAAAATTAAGAAATTTGCTTGCCCCGGTGTTGTTCTAATGCCTTATGCCCTTTCTGCTTTTTCGCACCACAAAAATAAGATTTTTCTTTAAATAAATTGTAAATAAAAAAATCCCCGGCGCAGCTTGTCCATATAGGCTAATGCAAGTGAATAGCAGTCTTTTTTAAAAAGACGCAAATGATCAGAGTGGTCTAATACGACACGTACCGTATATTTCAAGTTGTCTGGGGGTATACGATAGCGTTTGGTGAAATAGAAACAGAAATTTAATGTATCATCTAAGGAAAATCCGGACCTTGACTGTTGATCTCAGTAAATGATTTGCGCTTCACGAGACTCTACTAGCTCCGACTCGCCCAGGTAAAGCACACAAGTTGTGAGAAATCAAGATTAATAAAAACTCGACATGAAATACAATGGCTAGAAATCCAATGCAAAGAATGCACTTGTTTATAAACTCATTTAAAGTTCACGTTAATAGATTGTATGCGGTCAACTGCAACTGATAGGGTCTCTAAACCAAACAAACTATCACATGAATACTCCTGTTTTAGATCTGTTAATATTTGATGAAACCCTTAAGTTACCTGCTCTCCGGTGTGTGGTCTCTGGCTCGCTGCCTGTTCTGTGGAAATAGGAAAAAACTTTTCCTTCAGGAATAGAAATGCTCTCACCTCACTGGCTTATGGATACACACACCTACATTTAAGATATCCAGATTTGCATATATTTACCTGGGGGGCAAAGGAATAAACATCCGGGTAATACATCACCTCGAAATTAGAAGAAAACATGGTAAAACTTTACAATAAGGTTTCATTAGTTAACTACTTTAGTTAAAATGAACTAAGAATTAACGGCATTAGTCTTAGTTAATATTAATTTCAACATTTACTAATGCATTATTAAAATCAAAAGTTGTATATATATTATAATATATAATATGTATATAACACCTTATAGTAAAGTGTTACCGAAAAAATGTACTACAGTAATAAAAAAAAATCGCATTAGCACATATTTAATTGTATTAAAATCCGCAAACATTAAATTCAATACAACAAATATACCATTATGTATTTCAGTTTTTTTCGTTTATTCTTCAATTTTGCTCTCTAGAAAAAGAATACACATTATGCATTTTTTTTTTCTCTGTAGGTTTTGTAAATCTCACTTCCTTATGAATCTGAATAAGATGAGCAAGCAGTCTTGAAATTCTTCACAAGATGAACTTATAATACTGAAAATCGCTGATTTTCTATGTAGCGTGATTCGGGAACCCTTAAAATATTCTAAAAACCCTTCATTGTTTCGAATACAAGTGCATTATTAAACTATACAGTACATATATCATTAGAAAATAAACCCAGAACAAACCCTGACTGACAGACCAGTAAAACAGAAAATGGACAGTATACCAACCACAGTACAGAGTTCAAATAAAATGTGATCATCCATCATTTTGCGACTATTTTAACACAATGTTTTTTTTTCAAACGCAACTCTCTGTACATGTTGAGTGATCATATTTTATTAAAATTCGCCTCTTTACTAACGCAAAAATTCTTAAAAAAAAACAAAAAAAAAACGTAGGGGAGAATTGAATAACCGGTATCTTGTCAGATTTATTTTCATATAAAAGCAACAGAATTTAAATGACATCCAATGTATTTCCAACCAAGCACGTGAGCCTGAATTACCTGATCCTCTATGACAAACGCGTCGATATTTACCCGCCCCTAATCATGATGTTACACGATCTGTTATTGGTCGCTTTACATGTCAGTCAGACAGTCAAAGGTGTGGCCAAGAAACGAAGCTTTTCGAAACTCTGAATCAAATGAACCAATTGCTTCGTAAAATGATTCACTGATTCGAAGCGCTCGAAACGCCACACTCTGGCGGCATCTACTGGTCAAACGGTGTAAATGCAACGAAAACTCGGGCCATTCATGTATAAGACATCTTTTACAAACGAACTGCAAATGTATTCATGAAAGTGTGCGATCTACAAATAATTAAATACCATTAAATGTGAAGGTTCTGTAAATCTGTTTTATTGATTTGTGTGTTATTAAGCAATGCTTGGTCAATTAGAAACAATTAAGTATCATTCTCCTTTTCGCCTTATACACGCACAAGTATTACAATTGATTAAATGAATTAGAAATTAATCTACATCATAATAATTCTCCAATGAAACATTGGTTCACGAGATCACCATCTAGCTGCGAATTTTGTACCTTGATAGCACACATACATCTCAGAGACGTCTATTTGACGTCTGCAAGACGTATTTTTTTTGAGTGTTTGCTCATCTGCAATACGTCTATAGGACGTTTCCTATCAGTTGTCAAATAGACGTTCAGAAAATGTTGTAAAACTGACATCTTAGAGACGTCTATCAGATGTTTGTACACAGCAGATGCTTTCCAGATGAAGCGATCTATAACAGACATCTCGCAGACGTATATGTGTGCTATCTGGGTAATGTTTCGAAACCAAGGCTTGAAACAGTATGACGTAACAAAGCCTCGTTTGCTGAAACCACGCGACTTGGCAAGTTCAATACAAGCTTCACACGAAGCAGTGTTTTGCGGACAACAGATTTATATCCACCTTATTTTCCCTGTAAATTTAATGTGTCTGGCTTCCGGTGGCATCTGCTTCCAGCAATTTTTTAAATAATTATTATTATTTTAATGTATTATCTTAATTATGAACACACTGGTTTGTAGTGCAAACAGTTTTACTGTTTAGTCAAGTCAAGTCACCTTTATTTATATAGAGCTTTTAACAACAGATTGTGTCAAAGCAACTTTACAGTATTAAATAGGAAAATAGTGTGTCAATAATGCAAGAATTATTTAATGTATTTACTGACATTCTTCTTGTTATTTCCCTACAGCGGTTAATGAACCGGAAGTCTCGCACATTCACAGAAAACGGCTTACTTCCGCGTTAAAAAAAATAAGGTGGATACTCTCGCTACTGTGTCAGACTATATACTTATATATTGCTTTTGCGATTTCATAACAGCACTACTTACTAAGTTCTTACATCCATGCATTGTTAAAATTAAAATTTCAAATACTCACCAATGCAGGGTTTTGCTTTAATTTGGGGTCTTAACTTTTATAAAGAATATCTCTTTGGGTTTGAGACTTTAGTCTTTCCAACTTTAGGGATCTTATCTATGCACAGCTTGTAACACTCCAAAGAGAAATGAAAACTTGAAATCGCATCATATGACCCCTTTAAACCTTAGTTGAGATACAAAGGATGTCCCGCACGTAGCCACTAGATGGTGCCGCTAGCTCATGCAGTGCTGTCTGAAGCAGTTTATGCATCTAATAAATGCATTTGAAAACGCAGCATTGTGCAGATTTAGTAGTTGCATTCCTGTAAAATGAATATATTTGAAGAAGAACTTTAAATAAACATGAAAAGAGGGCTTAGACGGCAGTGTTCCATGAGTTTGTCTTTGTAAAAATTATAAAGTGTTGTTCAAGGTGTTTGATCAGCCATTGTTCGGGTTCCCGCATCGAACAGTGTTCAAGCTCCCCACAGCCAATCAGATGTGAAGATCTTCATTTACGGGCGGCGTCATAATTGGCCACAAACCAATCACACGTCTCCTTGACAGCTGGAAAAAAGCAAAGCTTCTGTAAAGATTCTTCTTTTTACCACTATTGGAAAAACATTTAGTAATTGCATGTGTGTGTGAATGATCACCAGCTCTGAACGGCGTGAACTTGAAGTCTGGCAGGTATTTGCGTAGTTTGGCGTTACTGGCGGTTTTCTTGAACTGACCGTCTGCTTTACTAGTAGCGCAAACAGATGTAGCCACATCTGGTAGGATGGGCAGTAGACAGGTGTAGCGGGGGATCGTAGTGCGCTGAAGAGAGAGGTTTTTATCCCATCCATCAACTCCAAGCAGATCGCAAGAGCAAGACGTGGATGTGTGCAAGGATCTTTTAATCCTGACCAAAATGCCAGCCCGTTTCCCACGCTTTCTATGGCGTCTTTTCCGATGAAATGAACAGCCGACGTGGCAAGTGGCCTTTGGGAACGCTGAGAAAAACCGGGTGTAGGAGAATTTGTCGTCATTCGGATTTCGAGCACACATATCCATGACAGTGAATTGTATATCAAGAAGGGTTTGGCGATCATAGGAAATTAAGGTACTGATTCCTTGAGCACACACACACACATAGATAGCACCAAAACGTACAGGAAAGACAGCAGAGGACAGGAGCGACGGCAAGCCAACACCCACAATGGCGCCATCTTCAGATCAGTACAGCAACTAAGTAGTGATTGTGTTTTTCAGCAATAGTGCCCACCCTTAATTTACAGAGAAAAGAAGGGTTTGGCGATCAGAGGAAATTAAGGTACTGATTCCTGGAGCACACACACACATCAATAGCACCAAAACGTACAGGAAAGACAGCAGGGAGCGACGGCAAGCCAACAACCACAATGGCGCCATCTTCAGACTCATCCTTCCATACAAGCTTCCATAATCACATTAGGCCATAATGATTCCTGTTTTCTGTCCCCAAATTTAAGACCTCTAAACATGATATTTAAGACTTTTTATAACCTTAAATCAAACTGAATGTTTAAGGACCTGCAGGAACACTATGTCAAACACGTCTCGAGTACCTGACAGAATGATGGGCTCCACCTCGTCGTACTCCCTCAGAACCCACAGAAACAGACGAGCCAGATCCAGAGAATAGATGAACTGCCGCAGAGCGCGACCCGAACCCCAGACCTGCAGAGGTTTACCTTCCTCTATAATACATACAAACACACGAAACAGGTTTACCATGTGAACAGAACTTAAATGAGGCTCTAGATAGTTACATGCGTCTCACTCTTTGCCAGGTATGTCTTGTGGATCAACCCTGGCAGGACGTGACCGTCATCAATGTTGAAGTTGTCATGGGGTCCAAATACATTTGTGGGGATGACGGCTGTGTATCGCAGACCGTACTGCTGAAAATACGCCCTAATGGACAAACACACACACACAGACTGGTTTTTAAACTTATGATGGATATAAACAAACATTTACCCCAAAATCGAATAATAATAATAAATACATTATTTTCATGACAATTATGCACATTCATCACAAATTCTCATTACTATAGTAAAACAATAATTACATACATTAAAAATGAAACATTTAAATGAGTAAATATTATTTAGCATGGTGTTTGTTGTGCTGCATTTGGTTTTATTACATATTGTAAAAAAGGGGCATAATATGTCTCCTTTAAATATAACAATTATTTCAGTATATTTTCTGTATCACAGCAATGAGAATTTAGAGAGGTCAAAATATGTTTAATATTTACACATATGGGAGGTTCCTCTGCAATAAAATCATACTGAAAGATTCAGAACTTACTACAACTAACTTCCCAATTTTAACGTCTGTTCATTAATCACTAGAGCAATACTACAGTGAAGTAAAGAAAGACCTTTCTGGGTGCAAAAGAACTTTGCAACCTCTATAAACTAAGAAATATAATATAAAAATATGAAACTGCATTTTATAAGCATCTCTGCCTATGATGGGTGTAATATGCAAGGGCTCGTGTACAGACGTTCTTTGTAGTTTACTGCTGTTTATGAATTAGTGAATCAGGCCAGAGACTAAATGATCAACTTCACACTGTTCCTGTTAGTAGTGTAAAGATCTGTTATCTACATTGTGATTATTTAGTGATCAAAGATCATACTCTTAAAGGGGTCATGAACTGCCTTTATTATTTTGTACTGTTCCACTTAACAATGTTATCAAGATTTTTACATCAAAAAACATAATTTCATATTTTCTGTCCTGTTTTGACCCCACTCATCTGAACGCTCTGTTTGAATAGACGTGGCGGATTGTCGACTCGGAAGTAAACGCCCACTGCTCTGATTGGCTAACAGTTGTGTATGTTTGACAGCCTACAGCCTTCACAGATAGACGCTGCTGTGATTTAGGTTAAAAATGCATAAGTACTTAGTACATATCAAACGATCTGTAATAACAGACAAAGCAATAGTGGTCACGTAATAAAAAGAGTTACATTTGTGTGGTGCGACATTACTGTCAGATCCAATATATTCAGCACAGCATTGTCTTTTAGTTTCAATCTTTCTGAAAATCCTGTGATGAATTGTGCTTTGTTTGTAAACTAATCCGCGGTAAAATGAAGTCAACAAAAGACCAAGTTCTTACTGACGCGGTCTGGATCTTCATTAAAAATAAAGTTCATCTACGCTTTCCTAATGTTGGGATCAGAAGGAAGGTGATGCAAAGACTGTGTTTTTCCACAGCGTGGCTCTGAATAGCGTCTTTGGAGCATCTTTATCGTTTGGTTCCTGCTTAGACCTTTGTTTGCCTCTCTCGTTATTTACACTACATGTGTGAATCGGTGGGCGGAGCTAAACAGGCAGTGATGTAGAATTGATGGGCGGAGCTAAACAGGCAGTGATGTAGAATCGGTGGGCGGAGCTAAACAGGCAGTGATTTAGAATTGATGGGCGGAGCTAAACAGACAGTGCTGTAGAATCGGTGGGCGGAGCTAAACAGTGCTGTAGAATCGATGGGCGGAGCTAAACAGGCAGTGATGATCTTCTGCAGAGCGGAGTTTAGCCACACTATTACGTCATAAAGTGGCTCATTCCACAAGCTGTCGTTTTGGCAGATTGGCTTCAATATAAGCTGTTTTTAGACTAACGAGAAAGTTTTGAGTTCTGAAACTTACAGGATGTTTTTATAGTACAATGACTTCTTATCTGTCAAAAGATCGAGGGAATTTTGATTTCTCGCTTCATGACCCCTCGGTTCATGAGCAGCACGGGTCTATCAGTGATTTGATTTCAGCATTTTGGCCAAAACTTCCAATATGATAAATGACAGTTTAAACTCTCTTATTTACTTTTGTTTTCACGCACATCTTTCAAAATAAAAGTCTCGCATCAGAAAAACATTTAGAATGACGTTTTTTGTTGTTTCTTTGACTGTACACTCCGCGACCCACTCAGAACAATCTTGCGACCCACTTTTGGGTCGTGACCCACCAGTTGAGAAACACTGATCTATGGTAACATTAAACTGTAAAATGATTGTAAAAAGCATGATTTACAGTTCAGATACAGGTTTTCACAAAAACAAAAAGTTTAATGATCATGACCTTCACATTAGGCTTGCCGCGATAGACGGTGATACCGACCGGTGTTAAGCCGCAACACCGGTTACGCCACTTGCCCACCACGGCACCGACCCCCACCGTCGTTTTGATTTCATTTGTTTTGTTAATAAAAGTTCTATGTTTTAAATATACGCTAAAGTGAGTTTGACATTGTATTTTGTTGTTGCATTCAAGCAATTGACGCCGAACTGCCGTTAATTCAAAAGTGAAAGTAAAATGCGCACGGCGCTTTTAAGCTATTTAAAAGCAAAGGAAAGCGAGGAAAAGAGGTACAATTAAAACGAAATAAGAAACGAACAATTGCTTTACTCCGAATTGCCGCTAATTTGAAAGTGAAAGTAAAATGGGCACACCGCTTTTACAAGCTATTTAAAAGCAAAGGAAAGCGAGGAAAAGAGGGAATGCCCCGCCCCGCCCCCACGGTGATACCGGTATTACCGGTGTTGTCACACGTCGATTAACTGGTGGGAAAATTTCCTCACCGTCACAACCCTACTACACATCTCAGCCTTTAAACCATTTTTAAGAAAATGAAAAAAACAAAAAAAAAAACATGGTTACTATAGTTAATCCATGGTAACCACAAATTAACCATGGTTTTGCTTCACTAACCAGGGCTGGAAATGAGGGGGAACGTGGGGGACGGAGTCCAGGGAGTGAATTTCGAGGGGTGACGACGTTCCAGCTCCAACTGGTTAGAATTTTTTGGAAATGAAAGGGATTTCTATGTTTTATTCATTCAATAGCCTACGCACATAAACGTAGCACAATATATAATAATAATAATTTTGGAATTACTCTTTTTGAACAGTCACTTGTACGGATGAATCAGCTGTTTGAACAAATTGACTGAATGAATGATTTAGTGACAAAGACACTGACTTGCCGCCACCTATTTAAATAATTTAATCTCTATATTCATAACTTTATATTTAAAACACAGGTCTTCAACCCTGTACCTGGGGACCCACTGTCCTGCAAAGTTTATTTCCAACCTGCTTCAGCACACCTGGCCAGCGACTTTTCAAGTAATACCTTGTAAGTCAAGTAAGATCTTGATTATCTGGTTCAGGTGTGTTTGATTAGGGTTGGAGCTGAACTCTGCAGGACAGTGGGTCCCCAGGAGCAGGGTTGAAGTCCTATGTTTTAAAACATTCATCACATAAAATTGTTATTATGAATTTAAATG